AAACCTGATAGTTTTTAGGGTAATATGAGTACATATTAATTATCTAATTTGCATAATTAATTAATTTTCAGCTTTTGATATATCAAGTAGTAATCATCATATTTCAATGAGACTTGCTACATAGATCTTCTAGGATTATGCAGAGACCTAATTAGTTTTAATTGGATATTAATTACCTAATTTGCATAATGTTCCACTGATATATGAAGAACCACAAATTGGATTTTAATTGAAACTTTTAAAGAGAACTATGCAGAAACCCAATTAGTTTTTGGTAAATATTTATGCTTATTAATCACCTAATTAACATAATTAATTAACACTGATATCTCAATTACTGATCATCACATTTGAATAAAATTTGGTACATAAATGCTCTAGGACAATAGACAGGCCTGATTAATTTTGGGTTAAAATTTGTTCATATTAATTCTCTAATTAGCATAATAATTCGTAATTTTTTTGTTCTGTTCTGTTCATATTAGTTACCTGATGTACATAATTAGTTTTCAGCTTTTCTATCAATATCTCATGTACAGGTAATTTTTCATTAATTTTTAATGTGTCTTCAATACTCTCAGCACACGGGAGTTCTTTCTAAGCTTTCTTTGATTTGAAAATGTGGTATCTTATGCATGCTTTGTCATTTCATTCAAATTTGGTACATACATAGCACATTTTAGATTACATGTCCATGACAAATTGTTTTACAATCAAAGATGACTGAGTAATGGCCATCTTGACCACACTACTATATCCCCAAGACTTATGGATCATTTTCATTCATATTTGGCACATACATCATACATATAAGAATATATGTTCATGACAGTTTTTTCATAATCAGATCAAAGATGGCCGACTGGCATCCATCTTTTTTTTTAGCTTCGCTGTTGACTTTGTCAACGGAGCTTATCATATGAGTGATTGTCCGTCGTCGTCCATGTCAATGTTTTACTTTTTCGACTTCTTCTTGAAAACTACAAGTCTGAATGCTTTGATACTTGGTGTATATGTACCTTGGGTAACCTCTCTTAGGTTTGTTCATTTTGTAATGATATCTGTAATTCTCTAATTTTGGTCAATATTTTTGGTAAAAAGTGATATTTTCGACTTCTTGTTAAAAACCACAAGTCCAATTACTTTGATATTACATATATAGGTACTACATGTGGACCTCTCTCAGATTTGTTCATTTTGTAATGATAACTTCAATTCTCTAATTTTGATGAATATTTTTGTTATTTTTGGTAAAAAGTGATATTTTCGACTTCTTGTTGAAAACCGCAAGTTCGATTGGTTTTATATTACATATATAGGTACTACATGTAGACCTCTTTCAGATTTGTTAATTTTGTGGTGATATCTTCAATTATCTAATTTTGATGATTATTTTTGTCTTTTTTGGTGAAAAGTGATATTTTTGAATTCTTGTTGAAAACAGCAAGTCCTATTGCATTGATACTATACATATTGTTCATTTTCTAATATCTTCTGTGCTTTAAAGGGGAGCAGAGGTGTGGCTTTTGACACTCTGTACATGAAATTTGAGATCTATGAATGAATTCTGTCAATAAAAACAACTTGTATGTGCTGCGAAATGCCCTAAATATCGGGTATAAAACGGGCTGTGAAGCAGATGACAAACTTCCGCTTTTCCTGGTGTCATTTCGCCTCTAGAGGGCCAGTCAAATGACGTCATCAGTGAACACTGATAATTGAAGCCATTCATGCTAGTACGCCAATCCCATAGAAATGCTACTATGAAAGACCTTGTTAACTGACTACTTAAAAGTTGAAACATGGCGAAATGTTGTGCGCATGAATGCCATAACGATTCATGTTAAGTTTCTCGAAATTCCAAATAAAAAATCACGTTGTTGGTTGCGAGAAAACGGCAGAAGAACTAACGTGAAAATGAAGACACGTACAGCGCTCTAGCTATAGTAAACAGTGAGTAAATAAATATTGTTTGAGTTAATGAGAAATATGCTAATATCACTTGAACCACAGTACTCATTTTGCCCAACTTCCCAGATTTTAAACGATCGCTTAATTTCCGACCGCACTGCAAGTTAACAGCGGAGCTATTTCAGCCGACAGGCTGCTTGTTTTTAAATGTGGCATCTTGGACAGGATGTGTTTTAATTTAATACAAACATTACACATATTGAGATACATGTTCATAATGACCAAGTGGCAGCCATCTTGTTTTTTCAAAATTTTTTCTTCAAATTATACATGCTAGGATACATGTCTATGACAATTAGTTTCACAATCGAATCAAAGATGGCTGACTGCTTGCAATCTTGCCTTTTGACCATACTACTATGTATATGTATATGAGCCTGGACAAAGGAAATTCAGTTTGGATTTGAGATATGCATGAATAGCATATCCTGTTTAATTTCTGACCATATATTTTGATTTTGGAAGAGTAATTTAATACATCTAATTTCTGATGATACTAGACCAGCCAATTATTCACTCGCAATTACTAATTGTGCTTTTGGTCCATATTACTTTATTTTTGTCATAAATAACACTATACAGTACTGTATGTCATTTATTAACATTAAAGATAAAGACACATATCACGGTAGATGAATACTTACTCAACTGTATCACCAAAGAAAGATGTTTCTACCCCTCTCAAATTCTCTTGTCGTACAAAATTGTCCCACTTCCCTTCCTGACATTCCAGAAAAATTTAAAGCATATAAGAGTATGTCCTTAAACTTGACATTCAGGGTGGGAAGTACTGGCAGATGAGGACAGCAAAGAAGAGATTAAATCAAGTACAGTTTTGGATATTGACTCAAATACAGCGTCTCCCGCTAACTTATCAGGACCCCAGAGTATAGGTAATTATATTGAACTTTGACCTCATCAAACGTGTCATTGTGATTGGTTAAAATTATACTCACATGATGCATCTATTCATAATAATGATCATTCAGACAAATTATCAGTTTCACTTTTGACCCTTGACCTTTCTGAGACTCTGTTCTCAGTAAGACTTTCTTTATGGCCATAATTTTGATGCAAATATATGTGAACTTAAATCACATTTTAATAATAGAGTTTAACGATGCAAAAATTTGACAATTACTCAAAAGGTTAATTGACAGGCAGTCATTTCAAAGTGTTATATCTACAAATTAAAAAATCATTAAACTGAATAAATACTAATTATTTGTTTTTTTCAGCTGAACATGATGAACTTCGTGAAATCTTCCAAGATATCAGCAGTTCTGAAAATGAAGAGGAAGATGTTAACATAATGGATTATGATGAAAATGTTGATACAAGTAGAAATGAGTCAATCACCGATGAGCCGATGTCAATGGGAACGATAGAAGAAGATTCTCAACAAAGTAATCACCAAGGTAACAATTAGACCGTGATTGTTCAGATACACAGGTGACATTGTCTGTTAGAAATTGGTGGCATTCCTGGGACAAAATTTAGTGAAAGCCTGCTAAAAAAATTTTAAGATTTTCACTCACTTAATGAATATTTTTTGCCCTTGAAATTAAAGTGGTTTAGAGTACAATGCAACCACTTTATTTAGCCCCCACCCAGACAAAGTCCAGGAGGGGGGCTTGTAGTTTCGCCTTCGTCAGTCCGTCCGTCACTCTGTTCGGAATGATTTCTTGGAGATGGCTGGATCGATTTTTTTGAAACTTGGTACAAAGACATAGTGCACAACCATACATGTGCACGTCACATTATTTCCCGATTCAATCAAATATGGCCAACTGGCATCCATTTTTATTGCCAAAATTCTCGGAGATGGCTTGAATGATTTTGTTACAATAATGAAGGGACTACCCATACAATTGCACTTTTTTGAAATGATCAAATATGGCCGACTGGCAGCCATTTTGATTGTTAATCATGGCTTTTATCTGTCCATTGATATTTCTCAGAGATGCTTTGACTGATTTCAATGATACTAGCTACAAAGACATAGTGAGGAACTATACATACTCACATGGATTTATTTCCTGATTTGATCAAATATGGCTGCCTGGCGGCCATTTTGAATGTCATAATCCTGTAAAATCCAGTTTTTTGGGTGTGACCATTGTCATTTCTCGGAGATGCCTGGACCGATTTTTCTGAGACTTGGTACAAAGACAGAGTGACCACTGGTACAGATGCACATTGATTTATTTTTTCAAGGAATCAATTAATGAGCTCATTTGCATATTTAATTATTAATTTGAATTCTTGTTAATATCTTGTGAACTAATAGTCCAAATTTGGTAGAGGCTTAATTTGTCAATGTAAGATATATGCTATGCAATATTGAGTTTCAATTTAATTACTGAGCTCATTTTCATATTTAATTAATTGTTGACTCCCTTGTGCGAAGCCTTTGTCTTTGTCTTTGCAGTTACATGTACCCTGTCTGTATGTGTGTATGTATGTGTGTGTGTCTGTTCCACTGATATCTCAAGAATCATATATCGATTTTTCATGAAACTTGGTGCATAGATGCTCTGGGCCAATGCGCAGATTTGATTAGGTTTTGGTAGTAATCCATGCATCTTAATTACCTAATTAGTTTTCAGCTTTTCCATCAAAATCTCAAGTACAAGTAATTTTGAATTAATTTGTACTGTGTCTCCAATACTCTCAGCACACGGGAGTTCTTTCTAAGCTTTCTTTGATTAAGTTTTGTTTATATCTTGTGAATTATTAGTCCAAAGTGGGGGGCTGTGTCATCTTCAGATGACTTGTTTCTGATGTGCTGAAGCTAAAAGTAAATAATTTAATATATATATGTTAATTAATGTTTGCATGGAGTGAAACAGAATCACATGATGCTGACATTCTGAATCTTTTACCATAGAGTTGATAAACAAACTTGAAGAACTTGAGCAAGAAATAGAAGCATTACAAGACAGACAAAGAACTCAAGAAGAGGCCATAGCTAATGTTGAGAACCCAGCATTAAAAGTAAGCATTGTAATTGTTACCAATATTTTGGACGTCAGAATTGATATTCATGATAAAAAAAAGAATTAAATTAAAACAATATTGATCTATTTCCCATTATAAATTTTTCATCATTTTGAAGAATTAGATATTGTATAATGTTTGGACCTAACGTCACTTTTAAAATGACATATGTGTAGCTCTGTGTATATGTTGTACTTCGTCAAATGCTTTATTTAATACTGATATATTCTACTTACAGCAACGTTTTCAAGAAGCTTTGGAACGGATACGAGAAGAAGAAATGAAAAAACAAGCAGAGGTAATACATACCGGTATTAGTATCACATGTATAGGTTTGTTTATACAATAAACGTAACCTTTGATCTTATGTATCCTGAGAATGCATTGATGACATACTCAAGTGGCAGAACACTGCTCTGCTTGCATATTATATACTAAATCTTCGTGCGTTGTGGATTGACATATTCTCTTATGAAATTCATTTTAAATATTCATGATTGAGATGAAATCAAAGATAAGTGATGGTAGCATTTCATTGCGGCTTTCCCACAGTGATATGTTATATTAAATTTTGATAAATTGATATTTGCTAGAATACAGTTCAGTGGGCACCTGAGGTATGGATTAATTCTGTTAATAATGTAAACATTGTAAAGTCACATCACAGTGTTATATCCATGATTTATGGCTTTATCATGAGTCCAAAGTTTAATTCTTTGTCTGGTCTGATCAAAAGTATTAACAGTGAACCATCCACCAATTGTCTCTGGCAGTGACTTCTATAAATATTAATTGCTGCTGAAAACTTCACTAAAATAACAACAATTTATTGCAAAAAAAAACATGATTTACTGCATTGACTTTGTCACCTTTATTTGAATTATGCAATGAATGAAAAAATAGAAATTCTATTACCATGACAACAATCATGCTTCCTGGATACCAAATGGAATTTATATGAGTAACAGGTTACAGCAGACCATGTCTGCATTCTGTTGTTTTGTCTGTGCAACTAAATATTTTAATGTTGTTTTCTTTTCTAGTATGATCAATTAAAAGTTAAATTAAACTGAGATGAAGTATATCAGGCAACAGAAGATCGAGGCATGCAGTAAGTACTTAAGAAGAGAGAGTTTGAGACTTCTCAAGAAGACAACATATGAGTACTACAACAGTCAACTTTGTTGTAAACTTGTGTGCATGTTGGAAGTGTCGTCATTCTCGTCCACATGCAAATTTTTACCATGTGACCCTTTTTCCCGGGTTTTGTTGGGCTTCACATCGAATACATGTATGTATCATGGTGTGATGGCTTAGTGATTATAACATAAACAAAATGGTGGTAATCACACACAAATATCTCATGACAATGAAACCTGCAAATGTTTTTTATTACAATAACTAAATAAAATCAAAATGTCTCCAAAAACAGGAAAGAGGAAGCATTCACATTTTGACAAAGCTCTTGGCTTTAATGTTTTAAATCTACTAGTCTAAGAATGTTGCCATCAAACAGAGATATATTCCCTTCTCTGTCTCAGAATGAGTCTGGAGATTTGGGGATGATGCAACCCTTGATATGTTATTTATAATACAGGTTTGTTACTTACTTACAATAGGTATAATTCAGTTTATCTCAATCTATGCTTTAACATAATGCATTTTAAATCTACTAGAGTCAACTAGTATCCATTTCATCAAACATAGATTACAAGTTATGTACCCCAAGTCCTGAGATATTGAGTAGCAAATTTGTTACTTGCTCTCAATGAGTATAATTCAGTTTATTTCACATTATGTAAAGTCTTATTTCAACATATCATTTCAAGGCTGTATTTGTGTAAGTAAATAAATGCAACCAATGCAACACTATTCCAGTAACTTTTGAAAGTATTTTGGGTACTGTCGTATGGAAGGTAATTTAACACTTCAGTAAATGAATATGATATTTTAACTTTATTTAGTCATGTTTCTGGGTAGAATGGTGTTGAATGTCACAGTAAAAATGTAACTGAGTTTCTGTGAAAAAGTCAAAATAAAAAATGTCACAGGGTTTGTTGTGACAGGGACAGTCACTGAAAGTGTCACAGGTTTTTTTCGGCGGACAGAGTCACAGTGACAATGTTACAGGGTCTCTTTGGGCCACGAGAGTCTTTGTGAAAATTTCACAGGTTTACTTTTGGCAGAGAATATCACTGTAAAAATATCACAGGTTCTTCGGGCAGAGAAAGTCGCAGTAAATATGTACCGGGTAACAGGGTTTCTTCAGGTGGAGAGAATCACAGTGAAAATGTCAGTGGCTTTCTTTAGGGTGAAAGTATCACAGGATTCCTTTTTGGCTGTGAATGTCGCAGGGTATTGTTAGACAGAACAAGTCAGTAAAAATGTCATTAGGTTTCTTTCGGCAGAGAAAGTCACAGTGAAAATGGCACAGGGTATTGTTAGGCTGAAAAAGTCACAGTATAAATGTCATTGAGTTTCCCAAAGTGGATAGAGTTACAATGAAAATGTTTTTTTAGACTGAGTCAATGAATTGAAGATACCACCTTCACTTGACCCTGATGTCTTGGGCTATGTTGACCACCATTACCATCCAAGTGTAGTCACACCAAGTTACAGGACTTCCAATTGATGGAACCCTCTACCAGAGTGTAGTCACACCAAGTTACAGGACTTCCAATTGATGGAACCCTCTACCAGAGTGTAGTGACACCAAGTTACATGACTTTCAATTGATGGAACCCTCTACCAGAGTGTAGTCACACCAAGTTACAGGACTGCCAATTGATGGAACCCTCTACCAGAGTGTAGTCACACCAAGTTACATGACTTTCAATTGATGGAACCCTCTACCAGAGTCGCCCTGTATTTTGGATTCATTCAATTATGTTGATTCTTGCAAAATATCATGCTTATTTACATTTATGAATAAACCAGTATCATTGCTAGAATCAATCTGTCTCATGTATCACTGATCAGTCTCTACACAAATCTACTGAGGACAATCAAATCACCAAACGACCAGCCTAGCTGGGATAGAGGAAAATTCCACAGAAGATATGAAAGTTGGGTAAGTCAAAGAAGATTAAGGTGCTCATCCACAATCATATTGTGTATAAAGTGCTATAAACAGTTTGTGGATTTTGAGGCCCAAACTATAGTCTGATTTGTATTATTGCATATATTTAACTCGCAGGCTTTTCAAGGCAGTTAGATGACTACTTTCAACAATATAGTGTTTGTTTTAAACATAAATTTATTGTTCTATGAACGTTTTATGTTTCCCGAGGTGAGTTCATGCTTTGTTGTGAACCTCGCCTATACACAACAGTGTAGTTTATCATAAACTGTAAATCCAGTTCAAAGCGTAAACATACCAATATATATTTATATAACTCCTCGAAGCCAGTGAAGCATTAAAGAACCATCGTGGTTAAATGTTGATAGGGACAGTGAAATTTAAGAATCTTCTTTGAATCAATTTGTGTAGGTTAGACAAGTATATAAATTGTTGCTTTAACACACATTTACCCCGGCCCCCGTAATACTTCATGGTTTGAATATTAATATGATTATTTGACATCCTCCAATAAAATCTCCATTATGTTATTGTTATTCATCCTGACTACTGCGCTTTCGATTTTTGTGTAAACTGTTATGCATGTTACATGGGAGCCAGTTCGAACGCGAAGTGACGTCCTGTGGCGCTTTACCACAATGTGTATTTAGAAACTGAATTGTGAAAAGAAAATCACCAGCTGCATGCGACACAGTACATGTTGGACTTGGATTTGTGCCATCACTGAAAAACCCGTACATATGATTCAGAGCTATATATTGTGCGATATTAAAATTCATTGACATAGTTATGAAAAAGGTGTTGCCGTTAAACTATTATACCATATATATTTATCAATTTTCTGTTCGTAAAATGTGTTCATATGCCAGAGGCGGTGGCAGCTTTTTTTGACTGGGACGAAGATTTTATGTGAATGTCAACAAATTGAGCGCCGAAGACGCGACCTTTCTTGGAGGGTCGTGGGGCATGCTCCCCCGGTAAAATCTAGACCCTCTGAAACGCTGTTTCCTGTATTTGGGGGAGCAAATTTTGATGGTACACTTAGGTATATTTCTCTTACAAATATAGATGAGTTTTTCATCTTATTTTTCGTGGGGGCGACCTGCCCCCACTGCCGCCGCCACTGTATGCGCAATGTTCAATTAAAACACGCACATTTGGTATGATTCATTAATTACAAATGTGATATAGTATTGCCACTCAATCTTTAGCACGAGAAGTATTCATACCTTATCTGAACAATTGTCAACATGATTGAAAATTGTGACACGAAATTATCAACACGGTGAGACACCGTTGTTGACACCGTAGTTGCGATTCCTTTAACATTCTCGAAGTAAGACACATTATACATATAAATTTGTTACCGTCCCCTAAATGGCTGCCAGTGTAAAGAAGTATTTTCTTTTCTCCAATCACAGTGTGCTCCAATAAACAATACAATGGAATATATGCAACGTCATTGAAACAAACCATTAAAGCGCGGTGGTCGTCGCGCAGCGCGTGTTTGAATTTCATGTAAATAAACAATGTATTTTACACGCGTTGTATACGTCGCTATGAGTCCCATATCGAACAGGACGCGGCACGACGACTACCGCCCTTTAAATATAAAGAACACAATTTTAATTGAGGGGAGACAAATTACTGTCTGCTAGGTCATTTAACAAAATCAATCATGTAACCATTAACAACGGCGATTCAATTACATACATAGAGTGAGCTAAGACCTAGCTTAGTCAAGAATTGCAAACACATGTCTCCCTATTATAATATGAGTCACGGCTATTTTTAAATCACGTGACTGGCATATTTTATCATGACTTGATTATGTCGGCCAAATGAAGTTAGAATAAATATAAATAACTTATGTCACCAAGGGTCGCACAAGAATTCATTTGAATTTGTTTGACACCAGGCATAATTAGACATATTTTAGACAGAAATGTGAAAAAAAAATGATAGGTAAACCAGCAGGTTTGGTTACTTATCAATTTTACATTCTGTGGGGCCATGGAGGTATAAATCTCCATAACGGGGGGGGGGGGCAAGGGTTATTTTCGTTCAACGTAATTGCAATATTTTTTTTGTTCGTACAACGTAAATGGAAAAAATAAATTCCGTAATTCTGTAATCACAGGCTAGACGTGCAACGAAATCAATCAAATACGTACAAGAATTTACATCCAAATAAAAAATTCGTAAAAAAAAATCCAGAGAAATTACATTTCAGAAACTGTAAAACAACTAGATGACACAATTCACTACAAAATTGAATGTCCAAGACGTAAAAGGTGATCTAACCGAATGAGGAGCATTACGAGGGTAATATGCGCATGCGTCTCTACACACGGCGCAGTAATGGCGGAGCATTTGAGTCGGAGAGCTCTTTGGACCATTCAATGTTCCATTTTTTAACATTGTAAACTGTAAAAACGTCTTTTTTTTCCTTGTAAATTGTAAAAAGCCCGTTTTATTTCCCGTAAAACCGTACCAGCTACCCCCCTTGCCTCCCCTCCTCCATGGTAGGGCAGATTTTCAAATCGTTAATTTTTTGAGTTCCAAAATGAAATCAGTTGTGGGTAGTTTGAATTTGCTATTTATTTATTGATTTATTTGTTTGTAATAAGGTGTCTAAAATAGAAATAACGGACGATCATTTATCACGATGAGCCCACGTCTTATAAATCAAATGTGACAACACTCTGACATGACATGGAGATTTTTTTTTTTCTATTAAATTATAGAATTATCTTTATCTTATAAATCTTTGCTATATTAAATTATATTTTCAGACCAATATAATCTTAATTTTATTATACACGACTATGGTAACAAAATAACACGTGCCATTGTCATACTAATAACGACCAACTGTGTTAGTTCACAAAGCCCTGTAAATATATTTAGCCCTTGCACGGAT